CACACACACACACACACACACACACACACACACACACACACACACACCTGAAGAAGAAATTCAGTTGCCAGTAGAATGACAGGAGGTTTTGCAAGAGAGAAACCCACGTTATGTTAGGCTCAAACTTGCACCCTATGTGTAAAGCGCAAACCTTTAGTCATTCTGTGTCCTGTTTGCAGTTGGAAGCTCTAAGAATTAATGGATTTGAGCTAGTGTGCAGCATCGAGTAGACACTCAGTGTTGGCTTCTGTTATAATCACATGCTATTTATACATTCCATTTAATTCAGTTGCTTTAGATTGTAAGTTTGGTGGGATCTGCCTGGCTGGTTTTGCTTTCTAGCGTAAGACCTTTATAATAACTCCTTTTCACTTTTCCTCTTTGGAAGTAAATTTTGAAGTTACTATTTCCTTGCTATTACTTTCCGTTTCTGATATATTCAATATAGTATCCTTTGCTTTGTTTCCTATGAATCTGAATTCTATAAATGGGGCATCTGTAGTTTTGTTTCTAAAGTGCTATTCTGTTACATTTTTCTCTCACTGGCCAAGTTGCTGCCATTTGCTGCCTGCTGACACCAAACAGGCCTCCATCAATGAAATGGTCCCGGGTATTGCTTAATGCCATTCTGCTTTTAGTTTTCACAGCTCCATCGCTTCTCCAGCAACTTCTATAATGACTTGAGTGGTGTAATGACAATTCAAGCCAAGCCGCTTCAGCAGCGACCCACGTATTTGGCAGATAAAGCACCGTAAGTATTCAGGGACAATGACCTATCATGAGGGACAGGACGGAAACAGTCTTACAGTATCAGCCACAAAACTACCATTGCTGTGTATTAGATGAGAAGAGGTGAGGAAAGGGGAACATACCTGTGAATTCTTTTTCTCCAGAATTTGCTATTGGATTACCAGTCTTTTCCCTTCTGTTCCTCACCGATGTAGCAACAGAAATGTCCATTTCTTCAATGTGTTCTCCAAAGAGGGTGCAGTCTGTGTGCTGTGTGTTTCCTATTGTCCGGAAACCTAGGCACAAGTAACCAACATGATTTTCTTTTCCCAGGAACGAGCAAGATGACAAACTGCCTGGGGGAGGGGTTGGAGCATCCTCACGTCACCGACTGGGCCGCATCCCAGACTCCCGAGGACCCCTGACTTCTGCCAAGAAAACACCAGTGCACAGGAGACTACCTTCAATTGCTTCAGACCCACAGAGGCTGAAAACGCCCACCGTTTACAGCGATGAAATTCTGAGAGGAACCAAACTGTGAGTCTTTTTTCTTTCACGGCAGACTAAAGGTCACAAAGGCCATGGGCACTTGTCAGTCGGGGTTGATGGTTCCTGAGAAAGGACTTTACACCACGTTTTTCTAATGAGTTCCTGTGTTTGAATTTGTTCCAGCAGTGTGGGTAGATGTCAGCTAGAATAAGAGCCCATGCAAATGCCTGCAGCTCAGGCAACTATGGAAATTAAACTGAATGTGGGGTGAGCGTGGATTAATTTAGTGGCCCCCATCTGTAAAATTGATAACTAATGCTTCTAAATTACAAAACGCTTTTTATGGACAGGCTTAAGTTAAATAACGCACAGCCAAGCACTGGATAACAATATTGCAGTCTGTTGCAGACCAAATATATGATCGTGGTCACGTAAGATTGCAGTGACTCCTGGTATCATAGCTGCTTGTGTGGGTCCACCCTGCGGTGTTTACATAATGATAAGATGGCCTGAGGATGCATTGCTTGAAGTATTCCCATCGTTAGGCTACACCTAGGTTATATAAAATGCTTTTAAAAAATTAAAGGGACGGGGCTCAGTGGTTCAGCGGTTCAGAGCACTGGCTGCTCTTCCAGAGGACACAGGTTCAATTGCCAACACTCAAAGGCTGGCTGACCTACAATTTACCCAGTATGGCTCCAGACCCAAGTGATCTGTCGCCCTCTTCTGACAGTCATGGGTTCTGCATGCATGTGATACACAGCCGTACAACGCAGGCAAAACCATCCATGCACATGAAATAAAGTAAATCTTTCTTAAAGGTTAGAGAAGTGTTTTGCTTTTACTTAACAAATATCATTGGAGCCTAATGAGACATGAACGAGAAAGCTATTTATTTCTTCCTTCAGTGTAGGGCTCCAAGGGGCGTCCCACCCACTGCCCCTCTTAATTGTCAGGAAATACAGTAACAATAGCAGCTGTTTGTTGATTTTTTTTTTTAACCAACATCCAAGTAAACTGTAATTATTCTGTACTACAAACCTCCATATTCTCCCCAAATCTAAGACGAGGAAACAGTCTGAAAGAAGTTGCAAACTTCTATCTTACCAAAGATCAAGGCACTAGGAAGCATGGCTCGGGAGTCCACTTCCTGGACCAAGTGTCATAGCCTCCACTGATAAGGCAGAGACTGTAGAGAAAGAGAGAGAACAACACTCAGGTCCCTGCAGGACCTAGGGGCAAGAAGAGCTTCCAGCAGTTGGCCAGTAGTACCTTATTATTTGCTTGATCCCCCGGGGAGGAGCTGTCCTGAACACCTATATTTTGCACACTTCCCAGCACAGCTGTGCGTTCAGTAGGTAGGTGCAGGTTGATAGTCACTGCTAAATGCTTACAGTGAGTGACACTCAGTGTCAGTGTGAGCGGCGCTGGCTGCCCTGTCTTCATACTTCGCAGCACGCTGTCATGAGCATTGGTTTGGGAAGCAGCTGCAATCAGTAGCCCAGACTGTCCCCTTCTCTTCTCTGTACTCCATCGTTCAGTTGTATGTTGTTGTGTTTACAGGCAAACTGGCATTGACCACGGACTTTCCTCAGCAGCTCCTACCTCCCGGAGCCGGTTACCTCCAATCAGCTCTGAGGCTGGGGAACAGAACACAGCGGCTTCTGGATCCCGCCCTGTTTCTGTAAGATGAATTTTGTTATGATTGCAAACATTTAGGTAGCCTGTGGGGAAACAATCTTGGCCCTTCCCGAGAAGCCAATCACACCAACGAGTGATCTAGCTATCTGTGTTCTTAATCTACTTGTCTTCATAATCTACTTCTAGAACGGAAATGGCTTATGAGAACCTGGACCAAGGAGTTCTTATCAGCATTAGACACATTCACAAACTTTAAATGCCTTGCACAAATTAAGCGCTCAGTAAATTATAATCAGTGTTCTTTCTATCGGCTGCCATTTTGTAGCTAGCCTTTTCCATGTTTGTACAGGGCAGAGGCCAATAGCCTGGCTCAGCTGTGCAACTGTGAGCCTCCTGTCACCAGGCTGCTCCCAGGCCTACTCCTCAGCTCCTCAGATGTAAGAAACTTGTATATGCAGGAAACAGGAGGGCTGTGGTTGTAGGGACTTGAAGCAGAGAGTGAGAAAACAAGCTATAGTCTCTCTCATGCCTTAAGCAGCATTTAGAACACATGTCATAACAGGACCCATTTCAGAAAGCAAGAGCTATGGAGCTAGGCTGTTTAATCCTGGGATAAATGAATCAGTAATGGCCGATGTCACACGAACAACTCTGAGGTTTCAGAAAGTGAACTATTACATTTCTCTGGATCCCACCTCACCTCTTGGTACACTACAGTTTTACTGAATTTAGTTACGCGAACACGTACTCCACGTACAGACTCAGGTTTAGATGTTGGACAGCCAACCTTACACTGAGCAGCGTGTCCATGAAAATGGGTGAATAACTGTGTGACTGAATAAGTGAATGAATAATTGAAACATAGGGTTTTTTTTGTTGTTGTTGTTGTCATTACAAGGATTTGTTTTATTCTTAAAAAGAACGGATTACCTTCCATTTAGTACAGGGGAAGGCACACACAGAACCGTGTGTTCAGTGCAATGCCTGACAGTACCGAGCGGTCACCCCTCCGGGAAAGAACCATTGTTCTGGAGCAGCTCTCAAGACCCAACACAACGCATACCTTCCGGGTAGGTGCAGCGCCATCTCTGATTTCAATTTGAAATCAAAACCGAAAAGGATAGAGCTCACCTCTCTTTTTCCTTTTTCTTTTTTCCCTCCTAACAGTCAGATACACCTCGAAAAGGCTCCCTGACACCCATGGAATCTGTTGCTCACACTTGGACAGGTCAAAGCGTTTTGACAGGTTGGTTAGCTTCGTCCACTTGTAAAGTTAATAGCAGAAGTTGGGTGTGGTAACACACTTCCGGCATCTCGGTACTCAAGAGGCTGAGGCAGGAGGATGGGAAGATGGGGTCCGCCCTGAGCTAAACAGGGAAGGGTGTCAAAGACAAAGAGGGAGGAGGGAAAGAGTAGAACACACACATAGAGACAGAGAGAGCATACAATGGTGCTATTTGTGAGATTTAAAATTTTCAGAAAATAAAACTGAAGATTATCTACGTTGATACACCTGCTTTGACCATGTAGGTGGGAAGAGCAAGCGCCTGTGCTCCATGGTTGGCCTGACCTTAGACACCATGCCAGACCATCACCTATGTGCTGCTGAGTGGCAAATTGCGAAGGGAAAAGTGCTCTTCATTAACCGGACCCCACTCTCCTCAAAGGACAGGCTGCCTTTGAGGACAGAGAGGCCACTGTCATTTCTTCTGTTGTCTTTTCATTCCTTCTAAATGAGGCCCTTATCCTGGATCCTCTCTGAAAATCTAATGTGACAGCACTTGATAAAATTAATACAGATTTGTTACGTGTTTTATAGTGCACGGTTTTATGTAAAAGTACCTATTCTGGGCCAAGTGAGCTAGTGGCAGAAGAAAGTTCTAGTGGGGGGTAGGGACCAGTGATGTTTTGATTTTTTAATTAAATTTTTATTTTTTATATTAATTACAGTTTATTCACCTTGTATCCCAGTTGTAGCTCCTCCTCTCCCAATCCCACTCTCCCTCCCTCATCTCATTCTATGCCCCTCTTCAAGTCCACTGATAGGGGAGGTCCTCTTCCCCTTCCATCTGACCCTAGCTTATTGGTCTCATCTGAACTGGATGCATTGTCCTCCTCTGTGGCCTGGCAAAACTGCTCCCCCATCCAGGGGAGGCGGTCAAAGACCCCTGAGTTCAGGTCAGAGACAGTCCCTGTTCCCCTTAGATACTGAGCTGCCATGGGCTACATCTGAGCAGGAGTTCTTTTTTAAAGTGTATCATAGTTCTTTCTGTCCACGGACGGAGCATATCATGCGACAGGCAGATCTGGAAACTGATGTTCCATTTCCATCCTGATGCCACTGCCTACAAGCTGTGGAAGCTCAGGAATGTTCCCACCTCTTTGGACCTCTGTGTCTTGTTTTATATCAGGTCACATGGATTAAAATCATCACTGGAAAATCCATGAAAAGGAAATAATAGCTAGATGCTAGATACATACCGTTTGCTCTGAATTTTAGCCATTTGTGTTAAGGACAGCTGATGTGTTCAGGAAATGTATTAAGAGAAGGTTTTAATAAGTTATGACTATAAAATTAAATTAGACAAACATTGTGTAGCACATTTATTACTGTTTTAAATCAGTCCTTCCTTAGCCTTGTGATGTCACAGATTTCAGAATGTTTGTTTAGTGAGGAGACAAACCCAGAGTCCTTTGTATATAAGATAAATGGGCTAAGACTGATCGACATCCTAGAACTTGCTTTTTGAGAAAGTCATACTACATAGCCCAGACTGGCCTTGAATTTATGTTATCCTCCTGTCTCATGCTTCCTGATGCTACAAGCACAGGTATGTGCCATCACACACCGCCTGTGGATGCTTTAGGATCTCAGCTTCTTGTTGTCCGGTTTTGCAATCATTCTAGACACCAGTGGCTCTTCAATGCTTTTTTATGCTCCCTGGAAATTTTAGTTGACATTGTTAGTGATGATAGTACTTTCTCTTAAGGGCAGATATGTTTCGTTGTCAGTTATTTGTGTGTGTGTGTGTGTGTGTGTGTGTGTGTGTTATATGTGCCTCCCACCAGTTATGTCCCTCAATCATTCCTCCCTCATTTTGAAGCCTTGGATAGCCTGGAACTCTCTATGTAGGCCAGGCTGGTCTCAGGCTTGCAGAGCTCTACCTACCTCTGCCACCCAAGTGCTGGGATTAAAAGTGTGCATCACCATACCCAGTTCCATCTTACTTTTAGAGATAGGTCTCTTACTAAACCTGGAGCTCACCAACTGGCAAGATTGGCTGTCCAACAGTCTCTGCTTCTCCAGCTCTCTCACCATGCCTGTATTTTTCTATATGTGCTGGAGCTCCAAATTCAGCTCCTCATGCTATCATAATGAACATTTCACTGACTGTGCCATCTCTCCAGTCTCACAGTTACTGCTTTAACATAATTTGTACTGTGTGGGAGAAAGTATGTTTCCATCTTTGTTTATGAATAAGTAATGATGTACCAAGGAACTGCTCCCTCTCTGCCAAGGGTAAAGGCTAGGATTCAGCATCAAAAGGAGGACTGGGGATGGGTCAGGACACTCCTGGCTTGTGCTTTGCCCTTTGTTTCAACATTAACACTGAACAACAAATCAAGGTGGACAAAATGGCTCAGTGGGTAAAAGTGCTTCTTGCTAGATAACTTGGGTGTGATTCTAGGAATTCACGGTGGAAGAAAAGAAGCAATGTCCAAAAGTTGTCCTCTGCCTTCTGCAATTGCACTGCACTACAGGCATGGTGTAGAATTACTTCTTAGACTCTTGAACACTTCTCTACTCTGGCTAATTCCCAAATAATGGACACAGAGAGGCTATCATTTTTTTAAATAAGCTTTAAAGCACTAGAGCTGAGCAGATATCAACTCTCTAAGCTATTTTGCTATTTCCCAGCTACACAGCCTTAATCATTCCCGTCTGCATTGCTTATGTCCCATCAGTCTGTCCTCATGTCCACATGCTCATGGTCCATACTGCCCATGGCAATTTCGTTCTCTCCAGCTTCCTCTCCTCCTGCTACATTTTCTGCTTCCTCTTGTCTTTCTCCCACCTTGTGGTCCCTCTCAGACCCCAAGCCCTGGAATCTAAGCCCCAGCTACCTCTCTTAAGCCCAGTTCAGGCTGTCGACAACTTTATTAACCAATCAGAGCTACCTGGGAAGCATAATTACACAGGGTCACCTGGTGTACATGAGCATGTGCTTGTCTGGAGTGTAACCAGATCTTGGGGATCAGTTATTAACAGCTGAATACACTAGGAGCACCAGACCAACCCCCCAAACATGCAAACACACACACACACACACACCCTGGATGCCCTGGAACTCACTATGTAGATATGGCTAGCTTGAAAGCATGGCGATCCACCTCTCTATGCCTCCCAAGTGCTGTAATTAACCACACTTAGCAAATAAAAAAATTAATCTAGTATATTTTTAGTCCACGCTTTAAGAAGCATTTAGTCTAATGGAAAAGTGAAAAAGACCATGAGACTGATGAACAGGATTGCCTCTGTCAATAGTCAGATGGTAAGACTGGGAGACTTTACAGAGGTAAACATTGTCTGGGGCATGAGAAGAGAATGGAAGCTGACCACCAAGACTAAGTAGATGGCTAGTCCTGGTGGTGACAGAAGAAAGAACTGAAAGGATATAATGAGCTCCCTTAGGAGGTGTTGATTGCATCATGCCAAGTAGACATGTCTAGCAGGTTTTTAGGGTACAGAGAGGTTGAGGTGAAGAGAGAGAACTGGGGTCTGTGTTAGTTTTAACTACAAATGCCTAATCTTTCAAACATTAAATCATCACAATCCCTAGTTTCTAGTAGCTACTACCATTGGTGCTCAGAGGTCTTTTGTACAAAAGATTCATAGATCTGATCAAAGTTTCCTAAGAGCCACATTTCTGTCTTTCTAAAACTTTATTTTCTTTTTGTCTGGCAAGTGGGCATGTGGATTTCTTGCTAACTCTGCTTCCAGAACAAAGAGCCTCAGGAACTATTGTCTTAACTTTCTGTGCTGTGGTAGGAAAAAAAAATTGAGATAGCTATCTCCAAAAACGGGGTATATGTTTCATGGCTGACATCATGGCTCCAGTTTAGACATGCCTTCCTTCTCATTGTCCCTGGTCTTAGACCTCTGCAGAGAACATTCCTGCAAAACCCCTCAGCTGTGGGAGAATATATCCTGGCACCTGGGTTTGTTTGCAGGGGACACCCTTCCCTTATTTGGGGTTCTACTTGATGATGTTTGCATATGACCACTTTGTAGTTTATGTCAAGATGACACTAAATAGAATATTTTTAATTTTTAAAGAATCGTCCCATGGAACAGACAGACCAGCCTTCTTTAGGGGTTGAGTTTTAATCTTTCAATGCAAATGTCTGTGTTCCAGGTTCACAGTACCTGCCTAAATCTTATCAGCGGGCAACTGTGACTTCGAGAAAGAGGTTCCAAGTGGCATCGTGATATTGCCGGTCCAGAATTACGGTCTTGATGGAACACCTGAAGCCTTGGCCACACCATTTGTCTCCAGAAAAGTGGAGGAACAAGTATTAACTGGTGTATATACTCATGTCTCTGACAGCAGGAGATGGTAGAATGCCCGAGAGAAACGCAAGAAAATAAGTAATTTAGTTTTGAACACTTGTAAAGCACTGTAAAGAGAACAAAAGTTGCCCTAACCCTATGGGAAGCATGCCTAAAGCTTCTTGGGCCTCTGTGCTTTAAGGACCCTAGCAGGTCCTTAAATTCCCTCTTTCCATTACACATGCTTACAATCAGTGTTCACACAGAGATGACATGAGTGCATTTCCTAAATGTGCATTTTGTAACTCTATACCATCGCACTCATTTTGGTCTCATTCTTTTAACGATTCCATTAAATAGCAGTCATATTTGAGGCAATTTGTCCATTTGAAAAACAGTTCTGGTTCTTCAAAATAATCACTGCATATTCAGTATATAAAGTGATGGGTTTCATAATGACAATATTTTTTTCATACCTTTGTTACTGAGTGATTAGTTGTGAATATCTGGGAAATGTCTTGTAATCCAGTTGTGTTAAAAATGCAACAGTGAACTAGTTTTCATTATCAAATTCAGACAGTGCGTTTAAAAATATCTCACCTTTAAAGATGAATGTAAGCATAATCAAAATTTATTACTCTGGGTTCCAAGGTTAACATTCCAGTTGATGTGCTTGATAACTGGTCAGAGGGAGCTGTAGCACCACCATCCTTTCTTAACATCATCCCAGCCTAGTCTTTGCCCTGACACGTCACTTCACTAGAGCCTCCCTGAGCCCTTGCTGAAATCAGCAGTTCCTGCTACTCTCTGTCCTTTCCCCACTCTTCCGGTCCCATGGGCAGCCTGACTACTACAGTCAGGGGAGTGGAAAACTCGAAGAAATGACATTTAGAGGCAAGGCCCCTTTCTGGTACTTACTCCTGATTCACATTCAAATACGCACATCTCAAACCAGCATAATTTCCCTTGTTTATCTGTTATGCTGCATCAGCATAAATCTCATTGATCGAAGAAAATGAGACTTCACAAATGTACACCTGTATGTATATGCCACTTAAACATAGGATGAATTGTTTCAGCACATTTCTTGCCAGAAGAAGTGAGGATCATTGCGGGGGTGTGGGGGGGACTGACCCATCTGTGGAGAGTAGCTTTGGATCTATCTGCTCTTTAACACAGAAAGACAAAGCAGAAATGGTTTCAGACCTTTGTTCTACTTGACAGTTTCTCCTCTCCACTCCATGTTCTGCAACAGCGCAACAAGTTGCCATGTTGACACTTCTCTCTAGGCAGTGTGCCTAGTACTCAGTCTCTCCCACCAAAACGTTTGCAGCCTCAGCTGACCTAACGCTCATCAAAAGCTGTGGAGGCTCTTCCGAGAAAATAGGAGTCTGAACGCAGCTGCTCCCCACATAGAGGAATTTCTGTATGGATGAGTGGCTGGAGTCCCGCTCACCAGTGCTCACCTGGGAGCTCGATGCTCCATTGTTAGTGCTCTCTCACAGCCACTCAGCTCACTTCATATCAATCATTTGGTACCATCCAACCGTTTCTCCCTCACCCCAAAGTCTGAAAAGGGAAGTGGCTAATAGGACATCTAACAATTAGGTGGTGACTCCAGGACAAATTATTATTCTTTACAGAGAGCCACAGGAGTGACTTAGTGGCAGCCTTGCCATGTTTGGTTTCCGAAGCTTGCAGTTAGAGACGTATTATCTATAAGTAATACATTAGAAATAGAACCAGGTACAGTTTTAATCAGCCAGGCATTTTGTTTGGAAAGCAAAGCTAGAGGACATCTAAAACTTAGAGATCTTGCAGAGTCAAAAAGTGACCTTCTCTTGGGACTTCTGCCTGTGTTAAAGATACTTTATTTCCAGGTGAGATGGGATTTACAAGCTAGTAAATGGTGCTTGGGTGAGGATGGCGCTGTTTAGACTGAAAAGGGAAAACTAGGGGGATATGCTTTTATGATATTCTACTGTCATAAATGAATCTTATCTTAGGCTCTCTGGTAAAAACTGAAATCAGAGATGACTTCTGAGACAAAATTTCAAATGCAGTTTAATGGCTCCATGAATTAAAATATCTTTAATTTATCCCAAGCCAAATAAAGAATGATGGAATTTTGAAATAATTTAAGACAATATGAACGATAATGGAAAATGGCTAGATTTCTAATATATATTGCATATATATATATATATATATATATATATATATGGAAGCATACATCTTTATATTTGTGTTACTCTGAACTAGGATGGAGTTTCTTTACTGGGAGGTTCATTTTGAATGCCATAAATCATTTCAGTATATTTTTACTATCATTGTTTTCTTATAATGATGGGTGATTGTTCAGAAATTTTAACCATTTAATTTTTAATAAAATATAAAAGTTAAAGAGTTTTCAGAATTTCACTGAATTTGTAAAAACATCCTTACATTTCAATTTTATGTGAGTTCTGCAACTACATCTGACTTTTCCGTTTCTAACACAGAGACCTTCCTTCCTTCCTTCCTTCCTTCCTTCCTTCCTTCCTTCCTTCCCCCTCCCTCCCTCCCTCCCTCCCTCCCTCCCTCCCTCCCTCCCTCCTTCCTTCCTTCCTTTCTTTTGTTTTGTTTTAAGCCAGGCTTTCTCTGTGTTGCCTGGCTATCCTAGAACTTTGTAGACGAGGCTTGCTTTAAGTGAACAGGGCAGTTATGGGGTGGGGGGAGGGAAAAGTGGGGACAGTCATAGTTCTATTTAAGTAACCGTGGATTCGTGCACGTTATTTCAAAACCTGAGAATAGATACCTCTCTCTCTCACACACACACACACACACACACACACTGGCTCCTCAATACAGTAGTTTAAAAGCTCAGGCCTTACTCTTGGTGATTCTGTACACTAGTTCAGACAGTGACTTAACTGTTTGTTAGGTCATAAGGAAACGGAGCCAAAAAGTTCTCTCAGCTAAGGCTTGCATCTGACTGCAAGAGATCAGATGCTGGCCTGACACCTACCGGCCTTGGAGAATCACCTGCAGCAAAAAAACCAGAAGCTACTCTCCTCCTCGGATGCCGCCCTTCCGCCTGGCGGTGGTGTAGGGGGGGGGGGGGACACAGGTGTGGACTTCACGTTTGACTTTAACCACGGGTACCAACGGAGGTTCCGTCGCATTGGATTCCCAAAAGCCTCGGAAAAATAAATAAATAAATAAATAAATAAATAAATAAATAAATAAATAAATAGATAAATAGATAAATAAATAATAAATACAGAAATAAATACAGTAATAAATAAATGCTCGGTGCCCCGGTTACCTCACTTCCGATGAAAGGAATGACTCCCGGGTTGGGTGCGAGAGGGGTGAGCAGGCTGGCTACCCGGGCTGCAGCTGACAGGTTCGATTCCCCGCTGCGGATCGCTAGGTCTGCAGAATCAGGAAGGAGGGTCTGGAGCCCCCAGCTTGTGCCGGCGGGAAAGGGGAAGGCCGCCGGTGCAAGCTGGGGAAGCCTGACAACGTTCCCGAGTTGCAAGCCAAGGAAGGAGGCGCGGGCCCAGCGTTGGGTTCCGCGGGGGGAGACGCGGGCTGGAGGGTTAACTGCGAGGGGGCAGTGAGTCCTCCCAGACGCGCGACGGGGCCACCGAGGGCACTTGGGAATCACAATCAGCTGACTTCCCTGCCCTCCCCCCCCCCCCCCCCCGAAGTCGGATCCTTGAGCTGCTCCATATTTGGCTTCTATTACGTATTTACATACTGGAGCGAGCAGGAGGGAGGGCGGGCGCAGGGAGGAAGAAGCGGGGGAGGAGGAGGAGGAGGAGGAGGGAGAGGAGGAGGGAGCAGAGTGCAACGCATGGGCACGGAGGCTGGCTTTGAACTCAGACATTCACTAGTTTCTGTCTCCTCTGAGTGCTGGGATTAAAGGTGCGTGCCGCCACGCTCTTTAGCTGCCTTTTAGCTGGGTGCCCAGCTCTTTCTTCTTTCTTCATGAGTCAGAGGGTCACATAACCCCAGGCTGGCTTCACATTTTCTATGCAGATGACAATGGCTTTGAACTCCTGATCCTCCATGCGCAAGTGTTGGAATAGTAGGTGTGTGTCATTACACCCAGGTTATTTAATTATTTTTAAGTAGGCAGTAAACTTTTTCCAGCAAATTCATAATAGACAAATAGGTCTGGGTTAGTTGTCTCTGTTGGTCTTCCTGTGGGGCTCCTGTCCCCTCCAGCACTCCTGACCCCTTCCATCTTCCCCCAGCACTTCCGCAAGACCCGGGGAGCTCCACCCTGTGGCTGTAAGTCCCAGTATCCGTCTCCACCTGCTGCTGCTGCTGCTGCTGCTGCTGCTGCTGCTGCTGCTGCTGTGGCGCCTCCCAGGGGACAGGCAAGTTAGGTTCCTGCCTGCGAGCCTAGCAGAGCATCGTTAACAGTGTTAGGGGCGGGCTCTCTTTGCGGTGGGTCTCAGGTTGGGCCTGTCATTGGTTGGACATTCCCTCGCTCGCTGTTCCCTCTTGAGCATCTTGCCGGCGTGCTGAATTTTGGATCAAAGGTTTCGCCAATGGGCTGTCGTTTCCTTCTGGCTGCGCGCCAGTTACGGTTTCCATAACTTCTCCCATTCCCTTCACGACCTCCCAAGCCCAAACCTCCCCAAGTTCTGGCTTTCTACGATCAGAGGACATTTGCGGAAGTGCCTAGATTGCAGTCTACTTTCGCTCTAGGGTCTCGGTCTGTCAGCTGACACTCACTGGACATCTGGTTCCCCCAAAGCTCTCGGTCACGGGAAGGTGGTTGCGGTGCCCTGACCCTGACGCAGAAGCCAGCCGGGCCCTAGGGCAGCAACTAACTGATGCAGCTTGCGCAAGGGCTGGTGAATTTAGAGTTTCAAAAACTGCGTTTCGACACTTGATTTGAAAGTTTTAAACAGACTGCTTGTGAGATCCATAACCCTTCCACACACTGCAAGGGTGTTACAAAATCCTAAACAGCCCACCTTAGCAGGCCTCAGGGGGTCCGGAACTGGTGATAATGAATTCCTAGTTCCTTCTCCATCCCGAAGATACTCTAAATTCAGCCTCCCCTGCCACCGTCATCTTTCCACACCGAGAACCTCCAAGGGCTTTCTGAACTTCGGAGTTCAGAAGTTGTTCCGGTCTTTCGCTTTCCCGTCTCGCCCCCGGGAGGCCGGCGGCAGTTACGCAGACTCCCTGCAGCGCATCGTTGACGAGCCCGCAGCGCTTTCTCTGCTAGCCTCGGGAATCAGTCCCCGGGGCCTGGCGGCAGCGACCGCTGCACAGCTTTCCGCCTCCGGAGCAGGAAGATCGGGGAGGACCTGGCGTGGCCCACGGATCCTCTCACCGGGCCGGGAGAATCCTGCATCCTGGACGTCCCAAACCCGTCAGCTGACCCGGGTGCTTGAACTCGGAGCGAGACCTCCGTCCGCGGCCCCCGGCAGCGGCTGGTCGCCACTGCCCGCTGCCGGCAAGGAGAGGAGAGGGGCGTCTGAGAGATGATGTGGCTGTGGTTAGGGCTCCTGGGGAGAAAGCTGTTGTTCTGGGGCGCGGCGAGCGCGGTCTCCCTGGCCGGCGCCACTGTCCTGCTCAACGTACTGCAGATGGTGGCGAGCTACGCGCGGAAATGGCTGCAAATGCGCCCCATCCCCTCGGTGGCCCCCGCCTACCCCTTGGTGGGACACGCGCTGTTGATGAAGCCCGAGGGCTCAGGTAAGGGTTTGTAAAAAATCCGCGCTCTGATTCCAAGGCTGCTAAGTTCCTTGTCAGTCTGGGAAGCCTGCAAAGGACTCCTTCCCATCCTGCCACGCTTCGGAGTCCTCACATCCCTTAGACACAGTCTTTCGTTGGCTGCTAGGAGAAAGAAGAAATCTTTCACCCCTCTAGAGAATAGATGCTCAATTCTTCCAATTCCAGTTTCCAGCCTAGTGCCTGCCATATTGTTTTGTGTCTCTTCCATCTTATAATGAACATAGCAAACATGGACGTGCATATATAACAGATTGCAATATTTCCAAGCACCTGCGCTTCAGCCTTTTCTCTTTTCCTGAAGTCTCAAAAGTCTCTTCTCCTGCCTTGGTTTGCAAAGCGGTGAGGAAAACTCCCCTGGAAAGCTGAAAATATCCTCAAACTTAATACCATTCCTTTTGTTCTCTCAGTTAAGAAAACAAAGAGACTACAGGGGATAGTAGTCTTTCTTTCTTTCTTTCTTTCTTTCTTTCTTTCTTTCTTTCTTTCTTCCTTCTTTCCTTCCCTTTTTCCTTCTTTCCTTTCTTTCATTCTTTCCCTCTTTTTTCCTTCCTTCCTTTCCCTTCTTTCTTCTTTCCTCCCTCCCTCCATCTCTCTTTCTTTTCTTTTCTTTCTTTCTTTCTTTTCTTTCTTTCTTTTCTTTCTTTCTGTTTACATCTTGATCATAGGTTGTTTTGAAGCTCAGACACTTGGCCTGGACAATGTATGACTTAACCAATACGCAGTTAAAATCCTCTTAGCCTTTGTATTTCAACCCTTCTGAGGAAGTTTCACAAGGCCACTTCAGCAGATTCTATTGCAGGGCCTTGAGGTAAATTTATAGGGACAATTTAAAAAAAAAAACAACCTTATTTATTAAAGAGTAATTTAAAAACTTGAAATAACCTTTTAAAAAGATGTTTTACACGATTTTTTTCTATTGACATAAAAGATACTATAAATCTGAAAGTTCTAAAAAGTGGTGCTATCTGTGGTTCCAAGTGAGGGAGAGTGCATTCAGTCTTAACACTTAGTTTCCTTGGCTGTGTGAGCTGGGATGCCCAGATCTGAGGAGATATACCCAGAATGACACATTTCAAAAGACCCTGTGCCAGAACCCAATCCTAATTCAATTAATTATCAATAGTTTTTTCACAGGCTGACCACCAACTTTAAATCTTCTTAAGATCCTTTATAATCACTTATGCAACCTCAGACAAAAACCGCACCGTAAGGACAACTTGACGTGAATAAAATGGGAGGTCATGGGAAAGTATGTGCCAAAACATTTTCTAGCAGAAATCCAAGCAAACTTGTCACCTCACAATCGTGCTGTGTAGTTGGCCAATACCCAAAAGAAAGCTAACCTCCCCTCCACTCCGAGATTTGAGAATACATCCTAACAATTCCACGGTGAAAATCATTTTGAAGAGAAAAATCCAAACCCCCAAATGCCCATTGGAGAGCAAAGGGCTATGTGTGGAAAAAGCCAGAATCCCAGGACCCCTCTAAGTGTTCCTGGTTATATACAGGGAACTCCCATCATGTTAAGTATGGTGAGTACCCTGAGAGCCGGGAAGGCAGTATTGTGAGTGTGTCTGTAGTTACTTGAGTGCCTCTTTGCAAAGGAGGTTAGTGTGTGAACTTAAGCAGCCCTGATGAGAAAACCTCATCTTTATCAGGCCAGAATCCCACTATCAGGAGTACAGAAGAAACAGTACAGAAAGCATAGTGGTTTTCTTCAGCTCCCTTGGTGGTCAGAAGTCCAGGCTTGCCGGCCTCCAGGCTTTACAGCTTAGGCAAACCTCTGGCTTTCCTCACCTCCTCTTCCCCAGCTGTCTATGCAAGTATTTCATTTTCCATCGCTGCTGCTACGTCTGATGGTCTAAACTGCTAGAAGACTCGGAGTCCCAATTCATCTTAGGCATTGTTTTCTCACATTTGTCTCCACACAAGTTCAGTATCACAAGGCTGACTTTTTCAGGAGGTGTGTGTGTGTGTGTGTGTGTGTGTGTGTGTGTGTGTGTGTATACGTTAAACATCCTTGAGGAATGAAGATATCTGTACCCATGAAAGAAAAATCTTCTTGAGGCCCCAGTTTTTTGGGCATCTGCACTTTCTCATCATGGGGTCTCACCCATGTCATCATCACACTTGGTCATCCCATTTCAGATGCCAGCAATTATGCAGTGTGATGCCCACAATTACAATGATGGTGATATGCATTTCTATATTTTAGGTTTTGAACCATTTCTTTTTGAACACAGTTAATCTGCTCACGATCTTCACTAATATGTCTGGGTGTTTTGATTATAAAAGAATGTGTGCTGCGATTGCCTATCTTATTGCACGAAGTGGCCTCTGGAGCATTCTAGTGTTTTTATTTTGTTTTGTTTTGTTTTGTTTTATTTCTACAGTTCCCCTCCCCCAGTAAACCACTTCCCAAAATTTAAGGAAAATGTCTTGTACAACATTTTCATAAGTTATTTTTCTATAATTTTATTTTCAGGATGCTAGTCATTCAGCATTTTAGATTTTAGATATTTTGATCTTTTCTGAGTCTCCTCATTTGGTATTATACAACTTTGGGATTAAAATTCTATTTGAGACGGTCGTGGCCTTAGAATTCCCCCAACTTTACTCTTGGAAAGTCTCATATTTTGGAGAAATTCAGTAAAATCTTTAATGACCAAGACCAGTTGAAAAGGAACTTTGAACTGATGAGATTCCTTAAAGTCTTTCTCCTTGGAGTGACCCTGACTGAGAAGAATGGCCCACTTAGAAAGGAACTATTTATTCAGTCAAAAAAGACTGGCCGAGAGGATGAGAAACTGTTGCTCAATTTTCAGTTATGAAACTGACTTATTTGGATAACTGTTGAGGACTCTTTATTGCTGTTTTTACTTATTTTGTTTATAGAAGTAACTATTGTAGTATTTTTAGGATTAAAATGTAACTTGAGCCAAATTTCTAGGTCTCTGTCTAAGGTGTACTTGCTTATAGTAAGTCCTCTAATTGCCAGTCAAGCATTTATCAAGGCCCTTTGTACTCAGCATTGAGCTCAGCAACACTGGGCAAAGACATGACCTCGCTCTGAGTGGCTCTGTCCCTTACATAAGAGCCTGTGCCTTTTATTCTATGATTAATGTCCAGATTCGGGCCTTGGTGACCTCGCTGTCAGTATTGCGTGTGGACTCCAGTTGATGTCTAAACTCTTCGAGTTTCCAGTCTTTTGTGTTAAATAGCCAACTTTCCCAGTAGGGCCCAGTTTTGGGATCTGATTCCTTCCCACCACAGAGTCAAAGCTCCTCATGTCCCCATCTCAGCAGACCAAGGTAGGTAGAATGCTACTGTGAAACAGAACACTTTCAAACTAATGATTTGTTACAGCCCACAAGTTAAATGTATTTCAATACATACATATGTACGTATATATGTGTGTATCTATGTGAATGCATGACACATATACACAGGTGCCTGTCGGGGCTGGAAAAAGATGTTAGATCCCCTGGGGCTGGATTTAAGATGGTCTTCTATGAGTGGTAGGACTTGAACTAAGAAAAGCACTAAGTGCTTTTACCCGCTGAACCATCTCTCCAGCTCCAATTCCTTGAATTTTAAAACAATTTATTAATTAAAACAATTTATTCATTCATTCATTTATTCATTCATTTGTGTGTGTGTGTGTGTGTGTGTGTGTGTGTGTGTGTGTGTGTGTGCGCGTGCGCGCTCTAGGGCATAGCACATGTGTAGAGGTCAGAAGACGTCTACCTGGAGTCAGCTCTTCCAACCATGTGGATTCCGAGGATCAAACCCAGGTCGTCATGCATGGTAGCAGACAATTTACTGACTGAACCCTCTTTTCAGCTCTCTCCCTGCAATTTCAGCAATGCTGCTTATCTAAGAGATGTTTGGAGTCTTTTTTTTTTTTTTTTCAAATGTGATACAATTGTTCAGCTGTCAAGTTCTGGAGTCTCGGGACAAAGCCAGGTTGTACCATTTTCCAGGTCCATGGCATTGGACATTGACTTATTAAGAATGTAAATTTTGCCACAACAAGGTCTTAACAGTCATCTTACAATAACGTATCATTTTTACATTCATCTGAAGGACTGACATTATTTTTTAAATGACCTCACAGCTTCAAGAATGATGCGAAACTCATTAGAGCTCAGACCCCTCTCCAGCTTCCTTTAGTGGTGATTTATCACATGCCTCCTGTGTTTATTGAAAGGAGATAATGAACATTTGTACAATTCAATTCAGAAATTCTTGTCCCGTCTGAATTTAAAACAACAACAATTTTTTTTTTTTTTTCAGATTTTTTTCAGCAGTTAATTCAGTACACCGAAGAATTCCGTCACCTGCCGCTCATTAAACTTTGGATTGGTCCGGTGCCCATGGTGGCTCTTTATAAGGCAGAGAATGTGGAGGTGAGTGCGTCCGTAGCATGATAATGGAGAGTTCACTCTCTATGCTAGGATGTAAGAATTTCGTCAGAACACAAGGAACAAATACATCCTCAAATTTCATTGCATTTGATCCAAAGAGCATTTCGCCGGCAAAGCACTGTGCAGACCGTTCAGTGATTTCTCGCTGCAATTTTTTGCAACCCTGAGAGAATAACTCCCCATGCATATCTTGATAGACTCTTGTTTGCTTTTGAAAGAACTCTGAGGGAGATTATTGTGGTGTTTTTTTGTGTTTTTTTTTTTTTTTCTTTTTTTTTTTTTTGTACTGAAGAGTAAATCTAAGGCCACTGCATGTCATACAAATGCTCTTCTATTGAGGTCTATTTCTTTTTCCATTTTCTAATATTGAGACACTGAGTTGCCCAAGGTGCCTTGACCTCATTCTCATCCGATAGCTCCAGGCTACCCTTGAGCTTGTCTTAACTCTCCTGCCTCAGCCTCCTAAATAGCTAGGGCAGTGGCCTGGCACCAGGCCTGGTGTGCCAGGTGCAATTTTAAGAGTTCAAAATTCGTGACTAATAAAATAGGAATGAGCCTGGTGTGGTGGCGTATGCCCGTAATCCCAGAACTCTGGGAGGAATAGGCACGTGGATCTCTTATGAGTTCGAGGCCAGCCTGGCCTACAAAGTAAGTCCAGGACAGCCAAGGCTACACATAGAAACCCTGTCTCGATAAATAAATAAATAAATAAATAAATAAATAAATAAACAAACAAACAAACAAATAAATAAATAAATAAATAGCAAACAAACAAATAAATAAATAATGAAATTAAAATGTTTTCATCCTGATTTTCGGGGTCTCATATCAGTGATACATTTATTACTGTACTGAGGATATGGATGGAGCATAAAGAAAGGAAATTAAGCCTTGGCATTGTTTACTCAAGAATGAGCCTGGAATCTTCTGAAGTTTTCTGAGTTGATGTCTGGAGCAGAGGTTTTCTTAGTTATTTAGTTCTACTGCTTGTGATGAAACCCCATGCCTAAGGTCAATTATAAGAGAAAGCGTTTAATCCGAGGCTCATGGTTCCAGAGGGTTAGAGCCTGTGACCATCATGGCAGGAGGCAGGAGGTAGGCAGGCAGGCAGATGTGTAGCTGAGAGCTCATATCTCCATCTACAAGAATTAGGCAGAGAACTAGCTGGAACTGATTTGGGCTTCTGAAACTCAAAGCTGACCTTCCATGACACACCTCATTCAACCAGGCCACATTTGTTAATCTTCTCAAACACTTCCACTAGTGGGTGAAGATATTCAATATACAGCCTCTGGGGGCCATTCTCATTGAAACCACCATAGAAGCTGTCCTCTCCATTTATTAAATTGCACAGAGACTATGGTATTGGGAAGGCATGAGGAAACTTTTGTCTTAATTTTTATAGAATTTCTAGTAAAGTGAAAATTTGTTTTTCTAACCCTTTTGACTCAGAATAGCACATAAAACCACAAGTAGATACTATCAATGTCTTCCCACATGTTTCTTTTGATATATTGTGTGTACCTGTGTGTGTGGGGGGGGAGTTGATGGATATTGCTTTCAGTGCCTTGCTGCTTTCAGGGAATGGTCTTAGGTCTAGTTATCACATTGTAAGCACACATGCATTGTTCTGAGTCAGAGGCATGAATGTGTTAGAAAGAAGAAATAGGGAATATGGTACATTCAAGCAATGTGTTCAGTTGAGCTTATAGGAATGAAATACACTGGGAGTCCAAAGTACAGTAAGATTGATTCCACTGGTTTTCTTAAGGGTCAGTTAGTTCTAAACAGGGTGAATATACAGCATGTGAGTAGATTAGAACATAGTCATAAATGATGTCCAGTCACATTATTAGCTTACTATAGATGGGATGAAAGTTTGATTTGTAAAGACAAGCTATAGGCAGAATTCTCAGAAAAATTATCTTTAAAATTCTACCCCCTTTGTTTTATTAATTAAGGGGCATGTCTACCAAAGTGTCCATTGATGGCGCTTTGGGAATGCTGGTGATGGTTGGAGGAGTGGCACGAATTAACAGTGATAGATCTTAGTGATTCTTGGAAAAGGTGACGTGCCTTTTCATTTCAGGAGAGGGTCCCTCTTCTGTTGTCAAGTTGTGGTCTTCTGGAGCCATCCCATGGTATGGCTTTTCCCAGGCATGCTGAGGCCCAGAGAAAGTTTGTAGGAAAAAAAAAAACAAAGATATGGAGCCTTAACCCCAATTAATGAATGGAGTAGGAGATAGCTACTTGATGAGCCCTCGAAGGAGTTTATATAAAACCATGTTGGGTTTTTTGTTCTTATTTTTTTTTAAACTTTTTACATAATGATACTCTTCCATAGGCGTTAGTGTCTTTAGGTGAAGACACATCTTTAGCTCTAGATGGACTAGTAGGGCAAAGTAGGGTCAAAAAGGACAGAGAAATGGACCCAGGAAGTAGATATGGTTCAATAGCAGGTGGGTTTTTGTTTTTGTGTGAGTTCTTTCTCTCCTCTTGATAAGGTTGTGTAGCTAGTGTAATTTGGTTCCAAAGACTGAACCAAGTTTTCCCCCAAGTTTCTGAATCAAGGGTCCCATGGTCAAGATACCAGGAACAATATTTCTGATTATCATTTAAAAGCTCATGAATTTGCTTTGGTGATACTTGAGCTCCAATTCCTTTAATTAAAGTCATTAAGTGTTCTGCATAAATGTAAATTCAGGGGACAAAGAATAGTGAAAACAAAGACCAAAGACAGTTAGGGGATTCACCTGTTCATTTCCCTCAGCTCCATATAGTCTCCAAGCTTGAATGATAATTTTTTTTGTATGTTCAGAACTCTGAGCAGATTGCTTTGAGGCTGAAGAATTAAATGAGCCACCGAGAATAATAAATGTTGATAAAATATTGATCTGAAAAGCAGACAATGTCCTAGTCCAATCCTCTTATAATTATAGTTGTTTTGATGCCTAAATCCCTCTTTTTTTTTTTTAATGTCTTCTGAAGGTAATTTTGACCAGTTCAAAGCAAATTGATAAATCATATGTGTACAAGTTCCTTCAACCATGGCTGGGACTGGGACTTCTCACAAGGTAAGGGAATGAAAAAGAGAAATGGAAAGGAAAGGCCAGTACTGCTCCTAGCGACAGTGGAGGAGGAAGCTTATTGTAGATGAAAGAGTGAGCATAGGCAAAGACAGAGACATCTGAGAGAGTCCACAGCTGACATGTGAGGAAGGAGAGGGGGAGGAATTGGGAGGCAGGGACTAGGTGCTGCAGCCAAAAGGGCAAAGGTACAAAAAAGGGCAGGTAACCAAAAGGTTGGAGTAGATAGGGAAGAGCCTCTGGGGGAAGGGCAGCCCAGCTCCTGGGCTGAAGACCAAGGGATCCTGGGAGAACCTAGTGGCCGGGTCCACTTTGATATATTAAATAGGTACCTCAGCCATTTGTCCCGGGGTCTGAGACTTAACAGTAAGGCACTGTCTAGTTTTCTGATAGACGGCTGTCCAGGTGTCTGGTAACTTCTAGCTGTGGTAAAAGGCAGCCCTTAGCCAGGCAAGGCTATAACGAGAATGTGCAAATTAGTAAGCGTGAAAAGCACTCTTAAGAGTTAGGAGGTCTGCCATAGAGTGAAAATGTACAAGGGGAGGGATGGCCAGGCAGAGCCAGATAAATACATGAACCAGCCCTACTCTGGCACCTGGAAGTAAGCCTCTTCTCCCAAAGCATTTAGGAAACCATTTGGGGGTGGAGAGATGGCTCAGAGGTTGAGAACACTGGCTGCTCTTGTGAAAGTCCTGAGTTCAATTTTCAGCAACCACATGGTAGCTCACAACCATCTATAATGAGATTAGATGCCTTCTTCTGGCATGCAGGCATACATGCTGGCAGAACACTGCAAATATAATAAATAAGAAGCAAATCTTTACAAAAAGAAAAACATTTGAAAACTTAAAAATAAAACTCATTTTGCAGGATTCCCACACTAGAAATTAAGATCGAGTCATAAAACGTGGGTGTCTGAAGAAGAAAGCTTAGGGGAGGAACTGATCTTCAGAAATGCCTCTCAGAAATGGACAAAATACTCTCAACATTTGCTATTTTACAGAAGTAATTTAACTATTAATATCATAGGACAAGTTCCACATATCTACACAGGGGGAATAAGTGAAAATATCATCTTTCTCATTCTAACGAGATCCTCGAGATGCTGTGGGCAAGGCTGTTTGTACTGACTGGGCTGGGCTCATGGCTGCCACGCTGTGGCTTCGATCCTCTTTAATTGATAACGATGCTGTGCTCGCAGCACTGGGAACAAATGGCGCTCCAGGAGGAAGATGTTAACGCCTACTTTCCATTTCACCATTCTGGAGGATTTCCTAGATGTCATGAACGAGCAAGCAAACATATTGGTTACTAAGCTTGAAAGCCATGTCAACCAAGAAGCTTTTAATTGCTTTTTCCACATCACTCTTTGTGCCTTGGATATAATCTGTGGTAAGTCTGGTTGTTGGATGCTGTGAAAATTAAATGGCCTAAATAGAAAACGAGACTCCACGGGTAGGACAAATGAGAGGATTGTTTGGAAAGGACCAAGATCCTTCACGGTGGTGTTATTGATAAGAGCCTCCCCAAGAAGCAGTAACCATTCCTAGAGGGATGGCCAGAGAAGTCACCTTGTCCCCTTGCCTGGAAGGTCAAAGGGAAAGGGTGACAGGAGCTGGAAGGATGCAGAAGGGGTAAGAAGGGCAAATGGAAGAGAAGAGAAGAGAACAGGATTCGGAGTCTCTCCACAGCCACCCACGTTGCTTCCTCCCTGTCTTTTGCAGAAACAGCTATGGGGAAGAACATTGGTGCTCAAAGCAATGATGACTCCGAGTACGTGCGTTCAGTGTACAGGTATGTGGGAGGGGTCTTTTAATTTCTTTTAAAGTTGTTATTGATTTGGGCCATTGCTAATCCCATCAACCTATGTGATCTTAACTATTTTAAACTACAAATTCAACTGGCGACATAAGCACCAACTTTAGCAGCAGGAAGTCTGTCCTGCTGATTATGCAAATTATGGTACATCTGAGGGCTCCAGAAATTTAAAATCTCCAATTGCACCTTGATGCCAAATGACAAAAGAATGACATTGAAAAATCTTAATAGCATATCAACTATTACTATATGTATAAATATAAATATAAATATAAATATAAATATATATTATTTGTAAGAACACCCTAGAACAGTGGTTCTCACCTTGTGGGTTTTGACCCTTTTAGGGGTTGAAAGAGCCTCTCACAGGGGTCAACCTAAGACTATCAGAAAACACAGGTATTTGCATACAATTGGTAACAGTAGCAAAATTACAGTTATGAAGGAGCAACAAAAGTAATTTTGTGGTCAAGGGTCAACAGGACCAGGACGGAGGACCTGTATTAAAGGGCTGCAGCGTTAGCAAGGCTGAGATCCGCCACCGTAGAAGACGTGGACCACAGAGCTGGCAGTGCTCACCACTGTTCGGTGCACCCTTTTGCTCTTCTACTGGGAGATTTTTGATATTGTTTCTTCTCTTCCACATCTTCTTCCATATCTTTGTGTGTATATGTGTCTGTGTGTGGTGTGTGTGGCTCCTGAGTTTGTAATTGAGGCAATCTTTTCTTGTTAACCTTGAAAGTGCTTGGAGTTATAAAGAGGTGGGACTGGGGCTTGATTTCTACTATGTCAATTCCTTACTCAGTTCATTTCATCATGAGAAATATTTATTGAACTGCCTTGGTCAGACAGGCATCACAACGGGTAGCTTTAAACTGACGCCGGCGACGGAATAGCACAGGAGATGGGCACTGAGCCGAGAAATCTGAATTTAGGCGTTGTGACAGCTGTTGATGAAGAAAAGATCAAGTTGTTATCAGATTGCAAAGCGTGTCTATATTCTGAATATAGTGTCCAGGGAAGGCCCCTTTCAAGAGCTGTCACCAAGGCTGTCCTAAAGAAGACAGAGCCTTGAAGGCTCCTCAGCCACACTTCAATTATTACCTTTATCAAGGCCAGGAGCCGAAGGTCAGGAGATAACATTCTGATATAAGTGGAAATATTATCCTGTTTATAGGATGAGTGATATGATTTATAGAAGAATGAAGATGCCCTGGCTTTGGTTTGATCTTTGGTACCTTATGTTTAAAGAAGGACGGGAACACAGAAAGGGACTCAAGAGCCTACATACTTTCACCAACAATGTAAGTGTGTGTACGTGCGTGTGTGTGTGTGTGTTAGAATACACAGAGCATAGAATCAAGTGGAATTAAATGAATTTGCAATGTTGTAGAGCTATTACCAAATTTCAGAATATTCTCAAGTCCAGAATTTTTTTTAATATATCCAAAACATAGGGTCACAGAGTAGAATGTTTGTTCCACAAAAGCCAAGTTGAATAGTAATGCAAAAGTTACATTACTATTACTTTAATATTTTAATATTAATACTTTAATTTAATACTAATACTTTAAATATTACAGTTAATTACATATTCAACTAGCATTAATGAAGTATTTGCTGAGTGCCACATGCTGTACCTAGTGTTGGAAATAGAGAAATGAACTGAACAAGCATGTTCCCTACCTTATCAGAGTACTCTAGGAGACCGGGTTAGCCATAACAATAACTATCACAGAACATTCTGTGGACTTTGAACCCTTATCATCAACATAGGAAAGGGTTAGAGAGTCATGCGTGATTCTTTTGGGAAATGTTTTAGGGAGACAGTAGTTCTTGCATGAAAGGACATCTAACACAGCACATAGTATAGTTCAGTGGAAATTAATTTAATAGTACTATTTTCTTTCCAAATTGAAAAATAAACAGAAGGTAGGTTGTTTGTTTGTTTGTTTGTTTGTTTGTTTTAAACATAGTGTATTCATCTTGGGGAGGGCTGAAGACATGTTTATCAAAGGCAAAGTTTAATTGAAAATATACATCAAATTGCAATTTAAATGTTGAAGTGTTTCCATTTAAATATATCATTTCTCTGCTGTAATTATTGCTTGAAATACATTGGGATTGCTTCTTTGTGATAAGGCAGAGCCACCAATGAATCACATGCTTAAGTCAGTGGATGTTAAGTGAATGAGCTAATGCCTTGAATCGCCCACAGTATCACAGTCAGGTAGCAGAAGAGGAAGAAGCAGGTCACAGTTTATAATGACATTTCCCCTCCCACCCCCGAAGGTCGTGCATCAACATCAGAAACAATAAACAATGAATTCCAGACTGTACAGGCCATGCCATTCGCTTTGCAAATATTGAAAAATATTTAGTGAGACACAAATGCTTATACATTCCACAAAGAACGAAACATGGTCTTTTACCTCCAGATTTCTGAGAATCTACTCACTTAAGCCTCTTCATAGGAGGATCACTCAGTGACCCAACAGGAAAAAGAAGATATACATGAGCACAGCAGGTATATGGGACATGCTAGAATGCTTGCCAGTGTTCTTGATCTGGGGAGAAAACCCACAGGCAAAGGCAGACTCTGCTAAGCGCTGTGGCACTGAGGTTGTGGGGAAAGGCACTGAAATGCAGACACACTGCATATGCCATGTGAGAAGTGAAACGGGGACACGTGAAGAAGAGTCAGGTGCGTGAAGAGTGTTCGGGACGAGGGTAGGCATGAGCAGGGAAGATCTCTTGTGTGGCAATCACCTGAGACCTGAAAGTGTCTAGGGATTCAGTCACGTGAGCCCTCAGGGGCAGAGAGCGTCCTGGGCTCACTGAAGAGCAAGCTTGCAGGGTGAATTGGCGTCACCAATTCACTTGCTATTTCCACTCTCCACACCTTGATGGAATCATCCAGAGTGATCCAGAATTAGTGTAGTCCGAAACCGTGTCCTCCCTACCACTTGCGCTTTTCCTCATTAGTTCCAGCACGTCTCTAGGGGATGTTTTAAAGACAGCGACTCTGTTCCCGTGTTAGAAAGATTGCAAAAATAGCACTTGAAAATTATGAGTTCGTCCTGTGATTACATATGTATTTAACAGTTTCACCGCATGACATCCTCAGTGTTAATGGGAGGCTTTGCTGCTTTTTCACAAGAGCCTGAGTTGTCACTGAGATAGAACGGAAAAAGTTCAGAAAAAAAAAAAAAAAGAAAAGTTAAAGAAGCCAGCGTGTTTTCATAGGGAAATGGGCCATTAAACCTCACCAAACATGCAAATTTTGTATTCCACATTTCTCAAATCCTGCAGGTCATTGCTGAACGGGTCAATGAAATGAAGGCAGAGGAAGACTGTGCCCGTGCTGGCAGGGGTCCTGTTCCCTCCAAAAACAAGCGCAAGGCTTTTCTTGACCTGCTTTTGAGTGTGACTGATGAGGAAGGAAACAAATTAAGCCGTGAAGACATCCGAGAGGAAGTTGACACCTTCATGTTTGAGGTAATTTTTGTTGCCAGGGAACTTTCCTGATGGATGCGTCTCACAGCTCCAGAAGTACTATGATGGAAACACCTGCTTAACGCACACAAGAACTGGCTTCCACTCCCAGCACCCTAGCAACAAACAGGCAAAAGGCAAGGGTGAGATGCTGGGAAGACGGCTCAGCAGTTAAGAGCACTGGCTGCTCTTCTCGAGGACCTGGGTTTAAGTCTCAGCACCCACATGACAGTTCCCACCTGTCTGTAACTCAACTTTCAGGGGCTATGGTACCCTCATACAGACAGACAGGTCAAACTGTAGGCGCTGTTTTTTTTTTTTTTTTTTAACTCTTTTACTCAGGGTTCCTTAAGTCTCTACTTCCCTTTTATCCCTCCCAGCCCTAGGTAGGAGAGAAAGAAGGTTAGAAGGGGAGGGGGTGTAGACTTAGTTCAGGCTGGTTAGGATCATCAGGTTCTTTAGGAAAATACCAGTCTCAGTTGTCAGGATAGCTAGCAGTCCAGCAACAGCAAAGAGCAAATGCAGCAGGAACAAACAGCCTTCTCTCTGGGCTCCAGTATTTATACTCTCCCAGAGTCCTCAGAATTCTAGTAACTCCTACTGGCAAAGACCACGCCCCTCTCTGAGCCACAGGAGGCTGTTATCAACTGCTGATAAACTAAGGCGGTCCCATGTCTCACACTTGGGATTAAAACAAAAACATAGCTACATAACATAACTGAGCCACCATGCGGTTGCTGGGAATTGAACTCAGGACCTTTGGAAGAGCAGCCAGTGCTATAAATTGCTGAGCCATCTCTCCAGGCCCCACAATTAACTCTTTAGAAGTATACAATAAATTATAATTAATTGTAGCCACCAAACTGTGCTATGAGTCATGACAATTCTGAGATTTTATTTTTAATCTCCTCTTCCCTTTCTCCCCTGCCACCAGCCACCCTCTGGTACTGTCATTCAACTCTGTATGGCTACGAGTTAAACTATTTTTAGTGTCTGTATGTTGGTGAGATCATATATTATTTTTCTTTCTGTTCTGGCTGATTTTACTTCCCATAGTGCCCCCTGGATTTCCTAGTTTTTAGAAGGAGAATATATATCATTTTACTATACATATCTTACAAATTTAAAATCCAGTCACCTGTTGATAATCATTCTTGGTGTGCCCTCTACATATTCAGTGCAGTTCTTATCAAGATCCCAATGACTTATTTTGGAGAATAAGAAAATAAATCCTAAAATTCATATAAAACTGTAAATGACACTGAGGAAACTAAAACAATCTTGGGTAAGAAAGAATGAAGAAGTCATATTGATTCCTTTAAAAACACACCAAACAGCCATGGGAACTAAAACAGCATGGCTATGGCATAAAAACATATGGGATAAAAGACCAATAGGATAGAGATCCAAAGAATAATAATCATGCATTTACAATCAGCTAATGTTTGACAAAGGTGCTGAGAATACACGGTGGGAAGAATCCACATTAGATGGTGTCTGGAAAATTACAGAGCCATGTGAAGGAGGGATAACCTTATCCCACCCTTTTCATAAGAACTAGCTCAAAATGGATGAAAGATGTAAGACATGAAACTGTAGACTAGTGAGAAAAAACATGGGGAAAGCTCCCAAATGACCGGTCTAGGAACTGATTTCTTGAAGACGACCTGATTTCTTGAATATAAAGCAACAATATTCAAATGGGATTGTCTCATCCATTCATCTCAAGAAAAGGGTTCTTCCATGGGAGAGCTCAGCTGTGTGAAGGGTCTGAAGTCCTGAGGTCTGTGCCAATGAGTTAAATAAAATGCCTCCAATCATCCCTGTGTGGTAAACAGGGGCCTAGATTGAATCAGTGGTTTTGAAACTTCCTTTTTGGGACAGAGACAGGGAAGTTCAGTGGTAGGTCACTTGTCTGGCATGTGTGAGGCTACGGGTTCAATCTGCAACAAAACAACTATCTTACCTATCTTGCATGAGTTACTTCCTGTTGCTATGACAAAATATCATGCCTGAGAGCAATGCATGGAAGAGCCGATGTTGCCTTCTGGTTCCACAGGGGTAGAGTCCATGATGGACAGGAAGTCATGGCAGCACATTGCTGGTGCAGGAAGCTGGCTGATCACGTTTTACAACGCAGGTAGCTGAGAGGGGAAATACAAGTTGGGAGAGGCCTAAATTCCCAAAGCCCCTAAACAGTGCCACCAAATGGGCATCAAATGTTCAAATACCTGAACCTATGGGGGATACTTCTCATTCAAACTGTCAACCTTCACCCCTTTGTCCAACAGGCTCAGGACCATCTCATGAGGCAAAATTTACTTAGTCCAAACTTAAAAATTCCATTGTCTTTAGTAGTCTTCCTGTTCAAAAGTCCAAAGTCTAAAGCTGCTTCTGTGACCCATGTGAGATCAAAACACTAATTACATACTTCCAGCATACAAGAGCATAGAATATACAGTTATATCCAAAATGGAGGAATGGGGGCATAGCCATAAAAGCAAGACCAATACACAGAGGGTCAAATTCCAGCTCCTGCAGCTCCATGTCTGTTGTGTGGGGCTTGAGCTTCAAAGGGCTCAGATGGTTCAATCAGCCTCCTGAGCCATACCCTCCTTGTCACTGTGGATGTTCTGCAACCACAGTCAAAACGAAGTCTTCCAGTTGCTTTTAATCATGGTGTTTTGTCGTAGCAAGAAAGGCACCCAAAACATACCTTTCTAAAAAGAAAACCTTTGAAAAGACATCTTAAGCAGAAAACAGACACCTTCATTAGCCAAAAAAGCAGAAAAATGTTCAGTGTGTAGGTTCTGGGGCCAAATCCAATGCACTGGAAATGTGGCCTCAAGCACTTCACCTAGCTTTCTGGGCCACTGGCTTCAGTAGCTGTTCTTCCTCTCAGTGATAGGAGTTGAACCACGGGCCCTGTGCATAGTAGGTGAGTGGTCTCCCCAGTTCTCCGTTCAGTGTTCTGTTGCTCTGAAGAGATGCCATGACCACAGCAACTCTTATAAAGAAAAGCATTTAACTAGGGCCGGCTTACAGTTCCTACTTTATTAGCACAGACTTCGTGGAACAGCTAAAGAAAAGAACACAGAGAATCAGAGAAGTCATATGAAAGCAATGCAGCAAATACATACTATTAGCATTTCATGTAAGCATCGAGATCTTAGATATGGGCTTTGCCCATGTTTTTACACAGTAACATATATGTAGTTTTGTACCCATTTACACAATATATATATGAACATATGTGTATGTGTAAATCTATACATCTAGTTCCCACCGAGAATCATCCTTTCCCTCTTGTAAAACAAAACAAAACAAAACAAAACAAAACAAAACAGGCAAATATCATTCCTACAGCTCTGACATGTTTTCAAGTCTTGATATTGTCCTTTGTTGTACTGAGTAGGAGGCCTACCATGTTCAGTTACAATACTGAGGCTCCATCATGCGCTGGATGTAAGCTGTGAACTCCAGGCTTTCATGCCTCAGGTTCCAGCCGTTAAGTGATTCAGCCATTACAGTGCTTGTGTAAACTCTGCTGTACATTTTACTTCATCTGTATGAAGTTCAGGAGACACCTTCCCCCCACCTACCCAAATGAGGTTTCCATCCACATATTCAAGAGAAGCCACTGAGTTCGTAGGGGGACCTCCTTACCTGACCTTGAAGACAGCTGAGCAACACACCTGGAACTTGTGTGCAGTCCCGAATCACACGGTAAAGGATTGCAGGTTCATGGAGATACCCCAGGGAGATGAAAGGAGGAAAGAAACAATGCCTGAAATATGAGTGGGCGAAGCACCAGCATGTCCCGATGGTGACTTGTCTCTTACCGCGGGCCACACCACAGTGTCACAGGAGAATGGTACAGACCCTGCTTTGCCATTCGGTCCAGGGCTCATTTCCTACTTTCACTTCCTTGGGAAGTTATTTAAGTTTTTTAAAATGTCTAAAATACGAATGATGATAATGAATATTTCCTTCAGTCGTGAAGATTAATTTCTACAAAATATTTAACAAGAACCCCACAAATAATCCTTGGTGCTCAGCACGGGCAGAGGAAGCCTACCAAACCAAAAACTCCAGGCTGAACCTTGAAGCAGAAACCACAGAGGAATGCTGCTCACTGGCTGGCTTCCCATGATGCTCAGCTCCCTTTCTTGTAGAGCCCAGTCCCACTTGGCCAGGGATGGTATGGCACAGAATGGGCTAGGGCCCTCCCATATCAGTCGTTAATCACGTAAAAGGCTTCATAGATGTGTTTGCAGGCCAATGTGATGCAGGAAATGCAGTCGAGTCTCACTCTTCCTTGGTGTGTTGACTTGACAATAAAAGCTAACCAGTGCGGCAATCCTCCTGCCTCAGCCTCCTCCCAAGTGCTGGGATTACAGAAATGTGCCACTCCTGCTCAGCTAAGAGACGGTTAAATTTATCTCTCACTCAAGTGAGCAGCAGCACTGAAGGACTCAGGTACTGCAGTCATAACACATCTGTAACACTCGGAGGGCGTTCAATTTCTCTCTTGGCTTGTACCCCAACAGAACTTCACTTTTAAGCGTGCCCCTCTCATGTCTACAGGGTCATGATACAACTGCAGCTGCAATAAACTGGTCCTTGTACCTATTGGGTTCTTATCCAGAAGTCCAGAGAAAAGTGGACAAGGAGCTGGATGACGTGTTCGGTATGTTGGGCCGCTTTGTTAACGCTGTTGAGTCCACAGAAGCATCGGTCATTCTGGATCCCCAAGGACACCCTTGTCATGAACAGGAAGGTCCTGGTGTAGGACTCCTGCCTGTCTCTACCTGTCTCCTCCTATTGAGCTTCCTAGCAGCCTTTGACGAATGTCCTGACATGCAACTGTCCCGGAATAGGCACTAAGTTTGCCTGGATGAATGATACTGTTCACAGTGGTCCTCCTGATTAATGGGGGAAACAAGTGCATGGAACTTAGGGCTCAGCGTCATGGGATGCGCCTTGACCAAAGCCAATGAATGTGCTGTGTGGGAGCTAGTTATGAGGGGAAAGGAAGAGTCCTTCCATATGACTACATCTGACACAGTGAGAGTGGTGATGGTTTCAATATTTGTTTCTACTATACAATAAACACTATTGTCTCTGAAATATTTTTGGTACCCCAAACATAACCTGTACTGCCAAACAATCGCTAGTCTTTATTCCCCTTACCGCTGGCCCCGACCAGCTGTCACCTTGTTACTTCCTTCTCTAGAAAAGAAATCATAAGTGACCTCTTTTTGTTTGTTTGTTTGTTTGTTTTTCCAAGATGGGTTTCCCTGGCTGTCCTGGCACTAGCTCTATAGACCAGGCTGGCCTTGAACTCACAGAGATCTACCTGCCTCTGCCTCCCCAGAGTGCTGGAATTAAAGGGGTGCAACCACCACCACCACCACCACCATGACCAGGCTGACCTTTGTCTTTGTAATGGGACTTTATTAACATTAAAATTGGAGATGGTCTTCATTCATCCGGTTTTTTGGTTGTTTTTTTTTTTTTTGGACTTAGCATAGGGCTTCTTTTTATTCCTGTACAGCCCTTTGATGTCTCACCTCTCTCAGCCTAGGTAGTACTTTGTTTGTATTTTATACATTTACCTTAACCAGGACAGTCCCATCGCCCAGTCACTTTGGAAGACCTGAAGAAGCTTAAATATCTGGATTGTGTCATTAAGGAGACTCTTCGCATTTTCCCATCGGTCCCTTTGTTTGCCCGGAGTCTTAGTGAAGACTGTGAAGTGTGTGAGTGTTCCTTAATAAGAGTGAAGTGGTGGTGGGGTGGGGGCCAGGGAAGCAGGGGTTATATTTCCACTGTCTAACTGGCTCCAGTGTCCTGACACATTGCCTACTATTGACAGCCGGTTACAGAGTTGCAAAAGGCACAGAAGCAGTCATCATTCCTTATGCGCTGCACCGAGATCCCAGATACTTCCCAGACCCGGAGGAATTCCAGCCAGAGCGGTTCTTTCCCCAGAATTCCCAAGGACGCCATCCCTATGCCTACGTGCCCTTTTCTGCTGGACCTAGAAACTGCATTGGTTTGTATCCGTGCAAGCTGGTTTCACCTTTCAAGCCCAGATGGTACATTTTGCCCAAGAATCTCTCAAGTACCATGTCACTTTACTCACAGGCAACAGACTTTTAAAAAGGCACTGTTTCCTTCCACTTTACCCTGTGGTTTTAAGATGTCATCGTTAGGGCCTGGTAAGGTGACTCAGTTGCTGCTTTGCGAGCATGAGGACTCAAGGCTGCCCCTAGATAGCATGTAACTCACAGTATTGTGTGCCTGTGTGATCCCAGTGACGAGGATGCAGAAAGCTGATCTCCGTGAGAGAGAATACAGAGTAGATGGCTTAAAATGATAGCAAGTACGCCTCTCACAGATCAGGAGGTTAAGGTATCAGAGCCTTTGGAGGCTTCTCTCCTTTGGTTTATATACGGCAGCCTTCTTTTGGTGTGTCTTCATTTGGTCTTCTCTGTGTGCACTTGTGTGTTAAATATCATTGTCTCGGCTTGTCCAGAGACCCACCTTAATGACCTCATTTAACTCACTTAAATTTAACCATGCAATGTTAATTTTTTTTTAATTTAAAGATTCTATCTCTCGATACATCGCAGTATAAAATGTTAAGGGTTGCCCACTGTGGTGGCTATGCTTCAGAGGAAGAGGCAGGTGTGAATCTCTGTGAGGTCAAGGGCAGTGAGGGCTACATAGTGAGACCCAATATCAAGTAAACAAATAGAGATGGAGAAGAAGAGTAGGAAAGAGTGATAGAGTCATTCCTTATGTGACCTCTGACACCATTCTAATCGTGGAGTTGGTCCAGGACCTCTCAGAGATACCCACCAGCAGATGCCTATCGCTGTGTATGAATTGGCATGGGTGTGCATGGTGAATGCATATTAATGTCCTCATGTATACTTAAGTCATCTCCAGATTCCCATGATACTGGTGACAATGTATATGCTAGGAAAAATAATTGTTCTGTATATTGCTTAGGGAATGAATGATGAAACAAAAAGTCTATGTGTGTTCAATGAAGATGTAATTAAAAAAAAAATTTAACCCATGGTCAGTGGAATCCACAGATAGAGAATCCATAGATCAGAGAGTGTAAAGTACTTTTAAAGTCGAGGTTGTCTGGTTGCCACAGCTAATTAGACTCATGTGGGAGCAAAAAGGATACTGGAAACCCTTTAGTTTCAGCAATGATCTCAGGGATTTTAATCTCCTCTGACATATATGAATGTGAAGTGGCTGATGACTGTGTTGCAAGCTGTGTCTGTCAATCAAGTGATGATATTTACATTTATTTAAAGGACAAAAGTTTGCTGTGATGGAGGAGAAGACCATTCTTGCCTGTATCCTGAGGCACTTTTGGGTAGAATCTAACCAGAAGAGAGAAGACCTTGGCCTGTGTGGAGATTTGATTCTTAGGCCAAATAATGGCATCTGGATCAAGCTGAAAAGCAGACATGAAGATGATCCCTATCTCCATCCTTGAGCTGAGACTTTATCATGATGAAGATCATTCTGTAAGAAACACTGTATTTGCAATTTTTAGACCACAAGTTAAAAATTGCTGAATCCTCAGACCTAATGTTTTTTTGTTTTTTTTTTTCTTGTCCCCAACTGATCATGGGATCCAACTATCGCTGAAAGTTTTTGTGTGTTTATTACCAGCATAGAAGCCATGTCACACCTTTTCTTTCTCTCAAGGGTACTGTTAGCTGGCTGAGTCAGCACCAAAATAAACGTGCTAACAACAGTTATACCAGAGGGATCATCAGCCTGTTCAAATTCATTTGTTAGACTCAAAAGACATAATTTAAATGAAATCCCGGAATTAAGAAAATATTCTTGTTTACTTGGAAATTCATATATCTTTTGAAAGTGTTGGGCAGTTAGGCTCTTCAGCAATATGGGCTTAAGTTTTTACGATGTCATCAGTGCTATCAGTTGACATGAGTGATTGCCATAACACTTGCAGATTTTATCATGAAAAGCAGGTCCCTTGCCTGCCTGACTCACGTTCCAGTAGCTTTGTTGACTGTGTGTGCTAGAGGCTTCTCTCACTTGGTGGACACAATTGCCTTATACATCATGTTATTGGAAGAGGTTCCTCTCCACAATGTCCAACTTCTCACAGAAGCTTAATTAGTGGCTTTTGAAATTCAAGTGGCCTCAGAAATTCTCTGCATGTGTGCCCTTCTGTTAAGATTAGGGACATGCAACAGAGGAGACAGTAAATCTCTGCCCAAGTTCTGCCATGGCTAGAAATAACACTGATGCTTCTCCGCTCCTTTTCTGATGTACTTTCTCCTACAATATACTTTGATGTTATAAACTCAGAACAGTGGCTGGATAGACTAGAACTCAGGATTTCCGCCCTCAGTGTGGGCACATCTTTCTCGTAATTCCTCTCCTTTTGGAGGAAGACAGAGTCTGTCTTCTCTTTGTGTACTATCACACTTGGTTCAGGACTACACATCCATTTAGCTCAGCTCTGTGGAACCTCCCTGGCAAGCTGACAGCTGAATTGCATCCCTTGCATTTTTCACATGGTATAGAGCACTATTCTTCCTCATGCAGTGGCTTTTAGAAACTTCTTCTAATAAATGATTTTTAACGGGATTAGTTGTGTGGCTTGTTTTGTTTTCGATTTTCCATGGCCCAGCAAACAGAAGCAAGAAACAGAATGGGTAGTGGTGAGGTCCAGCTTTGGTATTGAGATTGAGGGAGATTGAGTCAAGGCGTAGATCCGGCTGTTGGCTGGTGATCCAAAAGCCCTTTTCTCAGGGTAGTTTTTCAGACTGGAACTGATAGTTGCCTACCGTGGCTTCCACTGATAGAGGCAAACTGAGGGGCCAGAATTAAATTGGTGGTGGTGGGCCACTGCTGGTAGCTTTCTGGCATTGGCTTACACCTATTATGGCAAGTGGGAGCCAGGGTTCTTAGCTCTAAAGGGGGATTTCCCCTGGTAGTGACAAAGAGTCTAAAATAGAAAGAAAGTAAGGAGAGAAAAAGAGTACACATAGGCACATGTACTCTTAGACTTGATGATGAAGGAAGACAGACTCCAGTAGGTAGGTTCCAACAAGCTTCTTTTTTTTTAATTTAACTTCTTTTCATTTAGCTTCTCCAAACTTCCCTAAATTCACACATACATACATACATATGTACATACATACATACACACACATTTACACATTGGATGGATGGAACAAACTCCAGAGAGCGAGTTCCAACCCAACCTTACACACATACATATACATACATCTTGGTTGTTGGAACAAACTCCAAAGAGCGCGTTCCAAACCACACATTCATTCTTTTTCCCACAGTTTATATATCCCAGCAAGCAAACAGTACAAAAGTCACAATATGGTTACATTCTATTTTGCTTTAAGTAAAAGATTACAATGAGTTAACATAAAAAACATGTTCCCCAATACCTATGTATTATGGATGAAAAGCAAATATGAAAAACAAGTTATACCCAAGAACCCATATATATTTGTAAATGAGAAACTTGTTTATTCATTAAGAGTGTGAGCAAGCAAGGTAATTTCTCAGCCAGCTTTTCTTTACCAGCAGGCTGTAGTTTGAACTTACAAATTATCAATTATCTTAAAATGTAATCTTATAAAAATCTTAAAAGTATCACAAACCTAAACTTTTATATAAAAATAATCATCCATTTCTACTCTAAATCTTTAAGGTATGCATCTACTCATTAATAATTTTTTATTAAGTCATATCAGGAAGCTGAGGGCAAAAACTATAAGGAAATTGTCTCCTCAGTTACTAGCCCAGCTTGAGAGTATAATGTCAGCCAGTGCTAACTGGGCTAGTGTTTCTGCTCACCAGCCTCAAAAAGACCCTGGTCATTCTATTAAGAGTGTAGTTTTCTTAACTTCAAATTGTTCTCTAAGATTTTTTTTTTTTACGTCAAAGCCACTAGCAAAAATATCTTTAAAACCTTAATCCGTTTTTCCCTAAGATTTTCTTCATCAGAGCTATGAACAAAAACATCTTTACCTAACCTTGCTAAACAATCTATTTTTCCAAATTCTTCCTAAGGGTGGTGGCTGTTGCTAACATTCTACATCTGTACATTCTTATCAAGTGTGATGGTTGGATCATTAATCTTCTCCAGCAACCATGCCTGAAAGAGATCAAGCATTGCTATTGTGAGTGCCAGTGATAGGCCCAGTGAGGGGCTGGAAGCCCCTGTTGGTATAATGTTCTTTTGAAATGTATACATCTTACCCTTGTTCATTCAAATGCTGATTTCTGTCCCCCACTCTCTGATTTCAATACGGACATTACATTGTGATATTTATTCTAAGTATCACAAAATACAGCAACTAGCCACAATGTTGAGCAATAGAAAGGAAGCAGGAAGAGAGGGAGGAGCCAGAGGACAGAAGGCGGGAGGCAGAGGAGAGAAGGGCAGGGAGAACAGAGGCAGGAGCAGAGATCTTGGAACGACATGGAGAGATGGACTGGACCTAACATGTCAATAAAAGCAAGTATAATGTGGGAAATCTAAATGTTAGGAAACTATGAGGACTTGGAGTTTTAGGATGGAGTAAATATTGCCCAGCATTGTGTTCTAGGTTAATTAAAAAAAAAAATTCCACTGTCTGTATGGTGATTTGGGTATACAGCTGTTTAGGATTAACAGCAGCTTACGAGAAGACATATCAATAATAAATATCAATTGCACCTACAACAGGCGCCCTTAAGAGTTTTCATGCAACTCATACTTATGAGGGATGTGGTGACCATAACAGCATGAAGGGCTCAGGACCTGTGGTCCTTGGGGTTGTGCCTCTCCAAGACACCCATTGTGTGTCTGCTAACCAGTGCATTGCATTCCATGAGTTCTAGAGCTGTTTTGCTGTTCCTCCTGCATGGCTCTCGACGGGGTAGAATATGTATCCACGAATCAGTACCAAAGGATAACAGTATAAAAACTAGTCAGTTGGCAAGCACCGCAACATGAGTCATTCAGGGCAATATTACCAACACATCTCTTAGACTCTCCAGAGAGCCCCAGTGCACAGGACAAAAGCCCCAAGCTCATAAGACATAAAAAGCCCACCAAGGAGCTATGAGAGAGTCCCATGAAAGAAAGTCCTATCTCAAATGATTCGGGGTAGTTCAATTGGTTTCACTTGTATAGAGTTTCTCTCAATTTGTGCCATATATTAAACCCTTGCCTTATAAGTGTTTACATTTTAAACACTAATTTACTTATTCTTGTATTTAGTATGTGTATAGATGTGTGTGTGTGTGTGTGTGTTTGTGTGTGTGTGTGTTTGCAGGCTCACATGAATCACTGCATGACCTGCTTTCTCTGTTTAAGTTTATTGACCCAAGCAGGGTAAAACCAGAGGTGTCCCCTGGGATTTGTCCAGTTGGAGTTGAAGGAAAAGGACAGTTAATCTTCAGAAGAGACTTCTAACCACTGATTGATCCTCTGGAGTACCTTCTAGGAGATGAATTAAAAGGATGATGGAGAAGAAGCAGAACAAAGAAAGGATGGCTGCTGAATGATGCTGGATTCTTGCCATTCACTCTTCAACCATACCTTGGCAGTGTACGACCATTTTGTTTTAGTAGATAATTTTTCCCCAAAGCTCAAAGAACTCCATACTTATCAGTTTAGTTTCAGAACGAAGACTCGAATTTCATTCTTGGGACATCATCTTGGCTTTCATCTTATTTTCTTTCCGAAGAAAATAACTCTTTTGCATGTTATATCATGCTATGCAGATGTGGGCTAGAAATTTCAGTGCAATAACATTTGATAGTACATATCATTTCTTTTCTAGATGATATGAAACTTAATATTCTACCTTACTTTTTAGCTCTAATTCATAATACAGCTAATATGGCAAATATGGTTATAATCTACAGACTAAAGAGTCATTTCTCCCCCTTTTAACTAAGATGGGCTCACTCTGGTTTGCTTTATGGTTAGCTATATGACAAATTTCTGGATCAAATCTGTTTCCTGTAATTATTATTATTTTCAATATTTATTTATTTATTATGTATGCAGTATTCTGCCTGCATGTGTGAAAGCAGGCCAGAAGCGATCAGCAGATCTGATTATAGATGGTTATGTGCCACCATGTGGTTGCTGGGAATTGAACTCAGGACCTTTGAAGAACAGCCAGTGGTCTTAACCTCTGAGCCATCTCTCCAGTCCTCCTGGAATCATTAATTATGAGTTAGTTGTTCCACCACTCCACCTCAGTCACTTGCCCAGGAACTTTGGACTTGCAGGTCCAAATTCCACCTCTAAGTCTCAGGCTGTCCTCCATGGATCCACCGCTAGCTGCATTCACAGTTCAGGCCAGACTTGCAGGTCTGAAGTCTGAAGCTTTATCACACAACACTTAAACTCCAGGATAATCTCTTCATCTCTAGGCTCCAATAGACCTGCCCCTCATGCTTGGCAATAGGCCAGCTCCTCAGGATGCCAGTCTCAGAGGACCAAAGGCCAAGAATGGCACTCACTGGATCAGGAGCCACACCTGACCCCCTGGAGTCAGTGTCAGCCTCATTTCAGAGTTCCACTGAACCATGGGGCAAAGCTCCATGCCTCCCCATGGATCAAAGAAAAGAAATGGGTAGATGTTGGTCAAAGGCACAAAATCCCAGGCAAGACCAATGTTTAGGGCTCTGTCGTGCTTACACGCTTGAAAACCAATAGAGGAGATTACATATTCTCACCACAAAAATGGTAAGTATGTGATGTGATAGACAGGTAAACTATTTTGATTTGATCACTTTGCTGTGGTATACCCCCCATGGCTGTATAAATAAAATATAGCCTCTGTGTAAATTAAAATATAGTTGCTTTAATAACTAGTTTTAACAAGAGCAGCAATACAAGAATATTCATTAGAGTTAGAGATGGTGTGATTATTACTCCAGCAATTGGTTTTTAGCTCATGTAAGAGACACCTTAGCTTAGTTTACAGTGTAACTATGATATACATGAACCTGGTTACCCACAACTGAGGATAAAGGGACCCCCGTCCCCAGTTTCTTTCATTTGCTAAAAGTGGTTAATTGCTCACACATACAGTTATTCATCATTTCACTCTAACTCAATACCTAGTACTATTCCGGGCTCTGTGGAAAGATAGCAAAGAAACTGCAGTCTCAGGTCATAACAGCAAGGTGTTAAAGATACGGAAGTATACAGAGTGGGTAGATGAGGTGATGTTTTGTAGCCAGTGCTACAAAGGAAAGTGAACAGCAGGAAAGGAATGCTGAAGCATGCTAGTTGTAAGGGGGAGTGGTTGAGCAGAACTGGTTGATGTGAGGGTGTGGATACCTGGGACAATAAGGTACTTAGAAAGTAAAGAAAAAGGAGCTTGGAGGTGGTTAAAAGTGAGGCTCAGGAGGTGAATCCTCTTCCAGGTCCACTCAGTCACTGGAAATTTCTTTTTTTCTTGTGGGTGCGGGCCTGAGACCCCACTTTTCTTCAGCTGTTGGACAGAGACGACTCTCAAGTCCTTGTCTCCAGCTCTTCCATATCCAAAGCAGCACTAAAAATGTCTTCCTGCTGTTCAATTCTCTTAAACTTTGAATCTCAATGAATTCTCCTT